GAGCTTACCCCCTTTTTCCGCCTTGTCTTAGTTTTCTGTATACACAGCAAATGTTATATTCCTCTTTAGTACTGAAATTCTGATGCGCTGCCGAAATGAAGAAATCGGACTGCGCGGCGATCAAGACTCTTCTTGCATTCCAGACAGGTTCATTTGCGGGTTCATCGTCCACCTCCTTGGCCGTGTATCGCGTCGCATCCTTCCGGTTGACCATCTCACGCTAGCCAAGCAATTTTGATTTTGTCATTAAGACTGTCTCGTCTCCCACTCTCTAGCACGATGTTCGGCCAAACGGCTTCCGCGTCTCACCGAACCAGCCCCGTCCTGACATTTTGGCTCGGCACTCGTTTGCACAACTTTGGGCGGTTCTGATGCTTCTTCTCTGGCGACAGGCTCTGCGTTTGACCAAACGGCCTCCTCTTGTTCTAACCCACTGGACCGGCATTAGTTTGCACAGCGCTGCTAGAGTGGTTCTTAGATTTCGCCTCTCGCCACACTATTGTGCTGATAAGTACACTGTCGTTCTTGAATCAATCGGATCGCTTGGGGTTTTCCTGTCTACCCATCACTTTGGTGGCTATGAACACTTGCTCCTTCAAGTAATGCTAACCGATCACTGACAAAAGCAATGGAACCAACCTCAACAATGGTTACGGATAAGTAAACACAATTTCGTATTCACCGATTCATTGCCTTTAGGGCAATTAATTCCCCGCAGCGGTCGCTTTGGGCGCCTTCCACACATCTCTTGCTGGCCTGCGATGACATGATCAAGCAGATGCGTATGTCTAGTCCGTCAGTGCGCCCAAGTGGTGTTCTCGCTGGCATCCAGAGGGAGCGAAGTGTTTCTTCTCATCGTCTCCTGATTACTGGTTGGAAGCAGCAAGTAGAGTTTGCTCTGTGTAGCTGCATCTAATGTCACTCAGGGACAAAGACCCGTTATGTTGTGTTGCGCTCAATATATTTTGCGTCGGCAAAGTGTTTGTCCAGGAACTTCTTAAATTCCGACACCGACTTTGCCTCAACTACGTGCTGCGGTAGGCCGTTCCGTACATTCACCACTCTGTGTTCGAAACAGAGTTGGTGAGCGACCCGCTTCAATTCCGGTACGACAAGTTTGTATCAGTGTCCTCGTGTGCTTCTTGGTGTGCTCAGATAAAGCAGCGGTCTCAACATGGGGTAATCTCCCAGATGTAATATCCGGTGCGTCATGATGAGGTCAACCCTCATTTGACGATAAGCTAGGGCGTACAACCCTAGTTTCTTATACCGGTCTTCGTACGGCACACCTCGTAACTTGGGAATCAGCCTGGTAGCTACATGCTGCACTCGCTCAATCTTTTCTACCTCGCCCCGGGTTATGGGACAATACGCAGGAGAGCCATATTCTGTCATTCGTCGTATTATTGTGACGAAGAGGCATGTGGCAATCTTTTTGGATCAAGTGGTGGAGCTGCGCCTGCGCGCCCAAAGCATACGAAGGCTGTTTTGGTAAAGCCTATTCGTGTTGTCCATGGACTTTAGGTCGTAGCGTGAGAGTACACCGAGGTCGCGCACGAAAGGCGCGGGATGCAACGGCTGAGCAGCCACCGTGTAGGTTCGACTGTGCTCACACTTACCCAGCCTCATGAATTGCGACTTGACCGCGTTGATCGGAAGGCTGACCTCTACAGACCACGTGAAGAGACGGTCGAGGTCCTGCTGAAGCAGGTCACAATCATTGGGTGTGCGGATTACTCTCCACACCTTCAAGTCATCTGTGAACAACGCACAAGGTGATTGGAGTAGCTGAGATACATCGTTTACATGGATGATAAACAAAATCGGCCCCAGTACAGTGCCTTGGGGCACGCCACTGCTCGATGGATACCAGTCGGTTAAATGGTTGTCCACCTGGACCCTCCACTTTCGATCAGCAAGGAAATTCCTGATCCATTGGTGCAGCGAGCCACCAACACTGCACACACTCGGCCTGTCGAGGAGCACTGCATGATTTACCTTGTCAAAAGCCTTACTGAAGTCCATGTAAATGACGTCGACCGATTTGCCTTGCTTCAGCGTTTGTAACCATTCGTGCCTCATCAACAGTAGGCTAGTGATGCACGAGAAATCTTTCATGAAACCATGCTCTGTGCGGGTGTCAAGTGGCTTTTCGACTCGAGAAGCTGCAGAAGGCTCTTCTTCACAATCTTCTCGAGTCTCTTTGCCAAAACAGCGGTCTGGCAGATCGGCCGGTAGTTATCCACTTTGCTTGGGTTACTACCTTTCGGTATTGGCTTTACGACTGAGCATTTCCAGTCGCCCCGTAATATTCCAGTGGATAGGGACCTGTTGAGCAGCTCAGTTACAGAAGGCGAGATGATGGCCGATAGAGACTTGAGAATCAGTGGGTGGATTCCATCTGGCCCAGCATGCTTCGTCCCGTCAAGGCTTGCTAGCAGCTTGCATACATCTTCAATGCTGCAGTCTAATCTGTCTAATTCATTGGGAGCGGTACTCGTCGAACTCGTTACAGACAACTGGTCACTTGCAAATAGGGAGGCGAAGTGTGCCGCCAATGCGGACGCACGATCTGTGCTTGAGGTTAGGGGCTGTCCATCTGAGCCTTCCAACACTGGAACACTGCCTGCAGGCCTCAGGCGCCGCTTCACGTAGGCGAAGATCCTCTTGGAAGCAGCTTTTGCGGCGATTACAAGCTGCTCTTCGAAGCTTCTGCGTTTTTTGTTTTCGCGTTGTTGCAGAGATTTCGCTGTACCTTGTACGCCTTGTAGTCCTCATCAGAGCCAGATAACACGAATTTGTTCCATAGTCTGCGTCGTCCTCGGGCCAGTTTGCAGTACGCATTGTCGAACCAATGTGGTTTGACTGGCCCAACTTTCCGATACTTGAGGGGTACAAATCGGGCGCACAACCATTTCACTCCCTCTTTAATGATAGTCCAACAGGTTTCAATGGACGAATCCTCTGATATAGACCAGTACATATGGCTGGCTGCTCGAGTGAGGCCATTAATGTCCGCCTTCCAATAGTTGAAGGTTGTTTCCAGCGTGGGAGAATACGGCAGCGGCAGTTCCAAGCTATGATCATCGAGTGGTCACTCGCTCCCAAGGGCTCCAAGACTTGAATGTCATGCACACGTTACTCACGGCTGGTCAAAAGCAGATCTAAGCATGATGGAGTCGCGCGCGCAGCTATACGTGTCGGTTGATTGATGTGCTGTGTGGCCCCGGTTGCAAATATCAACTCCGTAAACTTCCTCTCGACTTCACAATGACCGGGGAGAAGGTCAGCCTCAGGCAACTATTCGGGGTAAGTTGAAATCACCCATGAGTAGGAACAGCTGATGACTCATGTGTTTGCGGACATGCGGCAACCAGTTCAAGCAGCAGCTCAGTGGACTGCGATATACCACGCCTACGAGCATCTCGCAGCGTCTGAGGTGGATCGAACACCATAACTGCTCACATAGACCATCAGCGCTTCGGTAGGCGCTCACTAGTCTCTCACACAAAGAAGACTTTATGTGAAGCAGAACGCCACCACGATTATTTGATGGTCTATCACAGCGGAAGCATGAGTAGCCGTTGATTTCCACTTCTTGGGCGGTTAGCTTGGAGTCTAACCATGTCTCAGCAAGGCCTAATGCGTCTGGTCACTGAGAGGTTACAAAGTAGTACAGCTCATCGCACTTGTTCATCAGACTGCAGACGTTAGTAAAGGCTACGCGCAGGCCCAGGCAGGAACAGCTGGGCGTGCCTGAAGCATCAGAAACATGTTGATCCGGACTCGCGGCGGAATCCGGGTAAGTTCCCGAAAACTTACAATTCGGAGATTTGTTTCTCCATCGTCCGTGCGTCGCTTTAGTTCAATCATCGCAGACTTGAGTTTCTCTCTGTCTGCTGGGTCTAAGTCAGTGCGCACGTGGATCTTTAGATCTTTCAGCCTAATAAGGTGGGACAATATCAACTTAGGACTTTCCTCTTCGACAAAACTCACCCTCATTGGTCGACTTTTGCTCTCGGTTCTCTTTCCTAGACGAGCGATCTGTTTCACTTTGAGCCCGCCCTCATCCAAGTCGAGCAATCTATCAAACAGAGTTTGCAAAAAATTCGACATCATTTTCATAGCGCACCTGAGGATTGGAATCACATGATTCAGATGCGTGAATGACCATGAGGCTGCGGCGCCTGAGGTTGCTGGACATTGTTCTTGGGTTCTTTTGTATGTATAGTGCACGTTCACACTGGCCTTTTGGTTACGCCAATCCTTGTGCTCCGACGACGTCTGGTCCCACATTGACCAGTCCACAAGTGCACTTTGTGCTTACCCAAGAGCAGGAAAGCATCGGCAGTACTCCTCTACGCAGTACCGACGCTTCGCTGCCGCACAACCACCACCAGTTGCACGGGCGCTAAGGATACTGCGTGAGTCGCCCGGTCCCTATGCAGGCTCGAATCTGCGCACTCAAATTACTAGATAGGCTTGTGATCCTTAAGGCTACCGACCATCACTATCATCAGGGGCAACGATGCGTAAAAGATCTTCGGCGTCCCAAGGATGAAGCGCGGTGAGAAATACCCTATGAATCCGTGCGTCTGAGCCATAGGTTTTAACTATAGAAAGAACTTGGCTCAACTCTCACCTAATGGTCATCAGGAGAGATGCACAGGACCAGAATTAATGGGAAAACTAGGGTAGCACTGATTTATTGATCTATAGGTCTCAGCATAGCACATGCCAACACGTTTCTTATTGTGCACCTGTGTGATTTTCCTTTCTATTGATCCCTTTTAACTTCACTTTACTTATTTTAATCTTCATAGTAACGTTTTTAGTTCATAGAATCCTAATTATTCTTCCCTGTGGTATACTATCGTGTGTCAAGTGTATGCCAGGACGGACTCCACCATTGTGCCTGTCGCTGACTCCGATGCTAGGGGCCAAACAATCGGATAAATGATGCAACTGAGTTATAATTTGCTGTTCATTTTTTGTTTCAGCAACAAAATTCCTTCATGTGGCCATCACTCACGCAAATCTGCCGACCCTCTTTTGTCTTCCTTGTTTGCCGATGCCACTGATTCGTTCCGTCTGGCATGCGCTACCACCCAAGGTCCAGAGTGCAAATCGAAACCCCAGGAAATACAATGTTTAAGTTATGTAAGTTCGACTTTTTAACCATTTTATTTTTCACCGTCTTCACAAAGCTGCATGTAATACACGCCTAGCTTATTTCGGTAACCCGTTAAGTTATGCGCTTGGTCCCTGCTGCTAAACCGTACATTAATTGAGCATGTCGCTTTGCCTATATCAGCTGGGTGGCACTTTTCGAGTGCCTTCACATGGACCAATTGTTGGGTATCAAACAAGCTAAGTCCCGGCATCTACTTTGAATCCTGGGAAGACGTCGATAGACCTCATTTAAATCGTGGCCTAGGAGACAGAGTTTGCTGATTTTAAGCTAAAGCCCATTGATGTAGAGTACAAACTGCGCGCGTTGTCTGACGGTGGGAATGCAGCCGCATCCTCATCTCGCTGTTATGCGACTTGAATGACCTAGAGAGTGAGAAGCATTAAGAGAGAAATTAAGAGAACTTACTTTATAACTTATAAGCTCTTATCAAACATTACGAGCAATGAGCTCACATTTTGTCAACAACACACGATCACAACCAGCTGGCTATCTTACTAGGCTAACGCGGCATCATCAGTACAGATTTTTGGCTCTTTTTACTGTCTCTTGCTATGACCAGCCATAATTCACATCTAAGTGTTAAGAGAACCTGCCCATAACAACGCTAGGGGTCGGTCCTTTCGCTAGCAACTCGGAGCACAGCCTGAAGCTTATTGGTCAGTCAATGGGAGTGAGCCAATGAGAAAGTTTCACTTTGAAGTCTACCAATGAGAATGACTCACCTTGTAGCCCTTTATTGAGCGCATTATCTTGGCAATCATCAAATGAATTACCAGACGTCTCGTAATTGCTGAAATCCAGGAACTACCTGCTCCCATTATTTGCCTACACATACTACTTATGTTCAACAGTTTTTGCCGAGGAGCTTTGTCTTCTGATCTAGGAAGTCGGCGTGTCCCGATTTCGCAATCTCAGCAGGTTATCAGTACGCTCAGTAGAAGACACAACGCCAAGCATCAGACATAGTGTAACACATAGTTCAACTAGGTGATGACGACAAACACGCCACCGGTGCCAGCTGTGAGTCCTGTCCTGTAACGTCTCAAAATAACCACAAGGTGGGTCACGTAAACTCATGGAGTTCACGTCGAACCAACAGTAACCAGTTTGATCGTCATTGCCTTCAGTTCCCGCTGCCAGGTCGTCTTTTGTATGTCGTAATCCAGATACACGATGTGTACTCTAAAGCCCAGTATTGGATTTCTAATCGCTGCATCAAGTGCTACTGGTGGTGTTCAGTAGACTATTGTTCAAGCTGTAAGCCGTCAAACACCATGTGCCCGATCCTCTCGGCTCAGGGTATATCTATCTGAAGAGTCCAAGCCTGGAAGAACCAGGCCATAGGGGCCATTGATAGCAGAGAGCAAGACAGAAACTTATTTGCGACTCCACGTATCCTACTTGATTACAACTGTCCGGTGCTCGCATGAGCACATTATCTTTGTGGACACGCTGGTGCCATCCGACACCAGCAATGCTCTGCATGCAGCGATCGTCAATGAACAAAGGGTCATTTTGTGAGCGGTAGCCTACAGTGATTCATCCTCGGACCATTATGATCATATATATGGGATAAACAAAGAAAATCAACCCGGTCAGTTCAGGTTACATAGATCACGTGAGGGTCATTTTCGGAGAGGAAAAATCAAACGTAGTCTTAGTGGGTTAATTGCGTGCCACAGAGCTTGACCGAAGACAGTCGACCTCAGTGTCTTCCATTTTCCCTAGCCAGCGAAGCTGACGAGCCTGGACCCGCTTCTTCTACAAGCATATAGACAGCGGAAACACTCGAATGCAAACTGCATTGACTTTTCGATCGGTGCGGGGAAACCTTGTACAATAAACTGAAGGCATGTTTCAGATCCACACGATGCCTGTTGTCCAAGATATGGGCCAGAACGAGTTGTGAATGCTCCCAGCCCTGCCTTGACGTAACCAACGTGAGCAGTGCTCATTCACTCGTTTGGACATGTGCCGCGCTGCTCGGCCCATATACGTTACGCCACATGCGCATTCGAACCGATAAATAACCGTTGAGGCGGTCAGCATCGATAAGTTATCCTTGTCCCGTGAACGGACGAGTGATTCTGTTGAAAACACACTTTAGCGAAGCGAAGTCGATTTAACTGTGGTAGAAAGACTTCTTGTTAAACGTCTTGTAGCCACATCTCCTTTGAAAATTACCCATATGAATAGCTCTATCTTTTATGCTGTTAAGACTCACTGGTTTCTGATTTCCCTGGAGGTTCCGTGAAAAAATATCTGTCGGAGTATGCATTTTCGCGCAACGTAATTTGTGTGAGCGTCAGTTCCGCATCCGAGCAGAGTCGACATGCTCTTGAGGTAAGACAGTAAATCAAGTTATGCTTATCCCTGCGAGGGACGAAACTGTGGAAGTTCGTGTATTGACCAGTCTGTGCTCTTTCCGTAGACCTGCTGCTTTATGGAGGAGGTTCAGGTCCTCAACTCTTAGGGACTAGGTCTCACTCTTATAAAAGACAACAGTCTTCGGCTTTTTGCACACGACGTTTCAGTACTTGAAATTCCCCTTTTTGATGCTACCGATGTCACAGATCCAAGAACTCAGTTTGCGCTTCCAAATTGCATGAACTAACCTCAGCGGTCACGCACCCATTACTATTACAGCTACCGCGATAGTGGAATTAGTCAGCCAACTCCAGTTCTTGATCGTCAGCTCAAGAAACTGTCAAGTGACTGGCGCACCAGTAAAAATGAATTTTGACGGTACGTAGCGCCTAACAAACAATGACGCCACTCTGTAGGGTTTAACTAGTTTACTGGTTTACTAGTGACTAGTTTACTGAGCCACTATGCGAGGTTGATAACGTTTGCATAATCCAAATCAGCTGCCTTTCGACAGAACAGCCCAGTGCTTCCATAATAAAGTTATGAGAAGGATCAATCCATTACGGAGGCTACGACAAAGTTGTACAGAAATGGGGAAATGGAGCAGCTTTTGCGAATATCAAATGTAAGTAACTGTAGAATCTTGTCCTACCTGTAGCGTTCGAATACATAGCACGTAAAATACTCGTGTATTTCATGGGAGCCCCGTTCTGAACAAGTATGGCGCGCGGTCAACTGAGTCAAACATACTTCCGAAGTCTAGGAACACAACTATCCTTGGCCTGTGGTGCTCGCGACGCTGCTCTAACACCTACCGCGAAGTAATTCTATGATCCACATATTCCCACCCTAGATGGAAACCTGTCTGATCTTCCCATCTTCGCGATTTCCGCTCCGCAATGATTTTGTCACTACCGCCGTTAGGCTGATACACCTACGATTAGCGTAACTAGTGCAACTGCAATTATCTCTTGACACTATGACCAATACACTCCAGTTTGCTGGCTTGATCTTTTCCTCTCATACCTACTTAAACCAGGAGATCAGTACTTTTGCGGTGGACCTTACCTCTATCCTTATATATTACTATTACGCGAGATTGATGGTTGTAATCTCGTTTCGAACGTCAGCCTCCTATAGGTACTGTAAACTTACCGTCCAGACTTCGGCCTACACTGCCTAAACAAGAAGAGACCAGGGGGGCAAACATGCACTGAGTTTCTCTTGAAAGTGTTCCGTTAAACAAGCAAGGCGGTCTTACTTACTGTGAATCAGTGCGTTGATATTCTCCTTAGCCACCTTACTAACACGTAGGTTTTTTGACGCTTAGTGCGACAATATTCCGTTTCTTCGGCCTCCTACATATAAGCTGTTCTGGTCTACCAGGCTTTCTTGTCAGCATACAAGTGTCATTTTAACTGGCGCGTAATGATTGCTTCGGTCACATTGTGCTCAGTGCCTGCAGGTAGTTCCTTTCTGTATTCCAATGAGTTCACTGATCTCTCGGGTACCAAGTATCCGTTGCGATGACGACTAAAGATGCCGCAAACAGAAGCCGTCACATCGTACGTTTCGGCCGGGGTAATATTTCCACTGAAGCCCACCGTCTTTATGGTAATTTGGCGAAAGACTGATAAGCCAAATTTCGCTGTTATCTTTGGCGTCCGCGGTAAACGATTTCGCCCTTGTCTGGCCCTTACTGGCCACCGGCTTCTCTCTGGATTGCTACTGAACACAAAGAAGGCGAAGGAGCCACCCGGATGTCAACGGTCTTCCTTAATCGTCCCGCTGCCTTGCGGGTTAGGTCTTAAGACCAAAGGCTCGGGGTGGGGTCCCTTAAGTCAACCCTCTTCCTCGGCCTGGGCAACCGGGAAGATTTCTGCCCACACAACACATTAACCTACTAAACTTTCCAAATCCTTTCATTGACTACCCGTTTTCCCCCTTTTTTGTTGTTAACTATGTGTTGTGGCACTGCCAATTGTACATTGATCAAGTGTTGAATAATAATATAATAGTAGGAATCATCGCTACGCTAATCACTGACTGAACTATGTCCATCTTTCTCCTGTTACCTGAGCTTACAGGCGTCAAGCATGCCACTTCAACACCATGCTAATTAAATTGTATGAAGCGTTGTATTTGATGCTAGTCAGAATACATGTTACTTACTGCGGAAGCTGGCGTGTTCTGCTGTCTTGTGCTACGAGCCGAATACCGCGTCATACTGAAAGCTGTAGTTTCGCACATGCCTAATCGCTGACTGATACGATTTCTCAATTGCCAGTCAAAGGAAATGTTTGCCGCGCCTCCCGGTCAAATTTCATGACGAATCATCAGCGTACTAGACTCTGATCAGAGTCGATGCACATTTTCTGGCAGCGTGGTCTATTTGCGCTCATCACTGGCCAGTAGTCGGAGGACGCCACGTGGCAGGTCGGAATCCATTGTATCTGAATGCGATGCCACCAAAAAGCAGCCAGTGCTCGGCGCACAGTAGCAATAAACAGCAGTCACTGTCCTTGCTTTCGAACTTCATGCTATACATCTCATCTAGCTGAGTTTTGCAGAGCTCAGACGACTTACCTTCGCAATACTCTACAACTATATACAACCATATACAATAGGTGATACTACGGGGCAGCGTGTTCAATTCATGGTAGGATGTATCTCTGAACGTATCAGTGCTGCGGTCATTGAAGACAAAGACGGCAATCACCAACAACCAGCGTTTAGTGCACTTCTGTGCTTTATCCCTATCTGATCTTTCCCTAACGGGATGCTCACAGAAGGTTGCACACGGGAATTCGATCAACCAAGGACTATACTCAGTCCTGGAATTGCGAACGATTTCTACCCGTGTTTGTTGTATCAATGCCTCCGGGTGCGTATAACCGTTAGCGAGAGGACAAACCGAGTGCGGTTATTCCACTAACCGCGTGAGAATCGTTGATATCAGTCTCTAACACATATCACACTTTGACCTTCAACCTGTCCAGTATGTATGTAGGTTAAAGGCTGTTGACCTCTCAATTTAAGAGTACGAACGCTGAGCGCCGCCAGAGAAACAAGGCAGTATAGCCTAACAAGAGTCTGTTGATTAAATGAGTACAGTGGGTCTTATGGGCCTATACTTGAAGGTAGTCTCCTTTTGTCGTTTCGATATAAATCCTTGCCGATCGCAGCCCTGAGTCCGTCAAATTTGAATCCTGTAAACAGCCCTGTCTCCTAACATGAAGTACCCAAGATACGGACATTTTACTCATTGCGGACGACCTGAATGCCCAAGTCGGTCGCCTGTTTGAATCATCACCTCTCCCCGAGGGCTGTTTCTGGGTCGATCATTCGTGCCGCCAACAATCATCTGTGCACTGACCACAAACTCTGTATCAGCAAGTTTCCGTCACAAGTGCCCATGCTGTGTTGCATGGCGACAGTTGAAGGACTCAGTTTGCTCACATCGCCATTAGCTATAGATGATGCACCTCAGTAAAGGATTGTCATCCGATTCTAGTCATGCCTACTTGCTTTCTTGCCTAACTCCACCTGCCCCGATGAGGCAGGCAATTGTTCGTCAATTGTATTCACAATTCGCGAAGCCGGAATATCAGTCTGAGTTGCACCATCAGCCGTCGCTAACGAACGAGTTGGTCTGTCCGAATGCCCCCAGTGCATAGTTCAAAATGTAATTGATTTCGCTTACCCTCGGAGCCCGAAGCGCCTGAGGAGATTTGTTTCTTGGTCTTCAATTACATGAATTAAGGATAGAAAAATACTTTCTATGTATCAATAACACTGAAACATTACCCGTTTATGTGTTTCAGAATTGAGCTCAAGCGCGGTGAATGGTATGCGCCTGTGAGCTTACGTAGCTCGGCGTTACTGAACGTACCTGAGTGCTTTTCTAGTTTGTTTAACATATGGGTCCAGGAATGGTTCTGGGGACTGAGATATTCACTGAGGTGAATGAACAGCTGATTCACTCTCAACCGTATCTTCCGGTTTATCAGCATTTCTGGCTGATTCACGCGAATCTCATCATCGAGAAGATCCGACGCGAGCTGTGGCTGCTGATGCGGAACAAGACATCTGGTCCATACAACCTCCCACTAGTGTGAGTGAAGGACGGTAGTTACTTACTAATAATGTTCTTTCTTGACTTAATATCCACCTTTTGTTCCGTTAATTGCACCCTTTGTGATGATGTCTATCTTTGGACAGATTACCTGAAAAGTTTCTCCGTTTTAGCAATCACCACCGCGACACCCGTTGCTGTGTGCGGGTCTACGGGAAACGCTCCCTTGAATTCAACACGATAAATAAAGTGCGCCAGGGCTGCTATCCCCCTTTCCTTTCAACTTTTTCATGGAAATGTCCTTGAATGACTGTCCTGCCTGTTTTCGCTTCTCCTAGGATCGATCTACTACTGGACGAGCGACCACATCTTTGCGCCCATTGCTGGAGCACCACCGTATTTATTGGCGGCCCACCGTAGCCGTGTTTCTCGACATCAATGTGCCCTTTGGGGCTGTCTGCTCAGGAAAGATGTGCCCGATAAATACGTAAACACTATCCAAGTGCTGTGCGCGCATAGTTCTGGTAAAGTAAGGATTAATCGCAATTTGTCGCCGCCCTTCAATATCTCAAGTGTTGTGAGACATGGTTGCCCGCTATCACTTTTCCTCCTTAACTTCGCCAATGATGGAGTCATGGAAACAGCGTTCGCTGGACACAACCTACAAAGTCTGGTGCTGCTTCCTGGTGAGCGACTTCTTGACTTGGAGTTAGCTGACGACGCCCTAATCTGTAACAGCTCCCAAACGTATCAAGCAGTATTGGGCAGATAAGCACTGGCTGTCAGTCGTTTTCGGCTTTGTTTTGCTCTTTCGAAATGCAAACTCCTCCAAGATTTGCAGCAATCCAACCCTGCGGCGACCCTTGGTGAGGATCAGCTAGAAGTCGTTCAGGAATCCAAGTAACTGGGTAGCTATATTATCGCCCGTGGGATTGAAGATGAGGTCACGAACTGTATAGAAACAGTTCGAGGTGCTTTTTACCAATCTCCGCTATCTGTGGCGCCGATGCGACATCACTCTTGCCCTGTAGGGCAGAGTTTACAATGCAGCTTTTCCTTCAACCCTCCTATACGGTTGTGAAATCTGGCTCATCAACTCGACGTCTTCGCAGATTAGCTCATATCTGATGTGAGCACCGCGTGAGCAATGAATGTGTTCGGCGTCTCAAATCCGTTGCAGGAATAGCGAGTGATGTGCTCAGCACTATTATATCACGCATCAGGCTCCGATGGCTGGGCCACTTGTTGCGCATGCAAACACACCGACTCCCGCGACTACGTTGTTCACTCTCCGGGGATGCAGTTGAAGGCCAAGCGATGACTTGGTCGAGAGGAATGAAAATCCTCACTTCGAAACTGGCGTTGGTTGGTACATCCTGGCTGTTTGGTTAGATACAAGTGTTGACATTGCCAGAAGCCGACCTAATTGAAGTTCCTTTTGTACGTTTCTTTATCCCGCTCCATCTCAGTCAACCTCCTCTCTATCCACGATCTAATTACCGATGTATGATATTTTATGGCATTATATCCCTTCCTTCTATCTTATTTTACGTTTTCTTTTCGAATATTTTATTACATTGTATTGCGGCACAATAGTTGTGTTCCTCACCTCTAAGTAATGTCTGTGTCTACCAATCGTGTAATTTAATTGCGAACCAAAGCAATCCTGCAACGGTATCTTACGCTTTGACATTCGAACTCCTGGGACATTCTGTATTTAGTTATTTAACATTGCTCATCCTAGCAGATGGGTCCAGCTATAGTTCATTTCACGCTTTTAACGAGTCTCCAAACAACGTTTTTATTGTGAGCAAAGCGACCGACACGGGATCAATACATTCGTTTCCATAAAAGTTTAGTTGGAATGTGAAAGTTAGATTGACGCTATATTACCACACCTTCTGCTGAGGGCTTCTTTTGGATATGTCGTCAGTCAGCGATGGGCGATGCCATTGGAGTCTTGAGTTGTTGGTTTTAATTGCACCCAACCTTGCGACGATTCTCTTTGCGTTTCTGAGCGCTGGGTTTATGCCGCTCGTTGCAATCACCTGATCAGTAGAAATTCTTTTCGCTCACCAACCCACCACGTATACTTGGCATGTATAGCTGGGCTAATTTCCCGCTTGCTTGTACATATGCGTTGTTGTCAGTAGTGGTATAGGTGGTGCTTTTGTCATTATGATAAGTCTACTGCTGTACTCGACCGATTCCCTGTAATGGATCCAGTCGTGTTTTCGCCACAATTCCCTCGCTTTTATCCTCCAATTAGCTTCTATTGCAGTTCCCGTTCATTGTACCAGTGAATTAATTTTGGTGCACTGCTACTCCGCAATGCGGTATAGTGAAATTGCGGTCCTTCTCATCGTTCCATATGCGACTTTCTGATAGCTCGTTCTTTAGGATGTCAAAATACAGGGTTTCATCTTGGCCGACCACTGATTTCCTCGATCGGTTTTTGATGCTTTCATCCTATATTGCACTAGTTCTCTCCCCGATCGTCTGTTGTTACACTTTTTGGTAGCATTGCTACTGTACCAAGGCGGTATGTGCATTCGCAATATCGAATAGAACCGTGTTTTCTCTTATCCTCCGATCGCAGGGCTCATCTCTAGGCTATCGTCCAACTGTACGTCCAGAAGTGACCACTGTTTCGCGCACTTCCCTACTCTCGAAGAATTCAGCTCTAGACCATTTCGATCATCTCGCACCAGGCGATGTCTGCTCCTCTCTTGTCCTCCATGGCAATGAGTTGGCTGCAGCCATGAAAAATGACCAGCTGGACGCAGATCCAGACTGTCCGAAATTCGCCACAATCCAAGTTGCCGGCACAACATCTACAGTGTACACCGTTATTCGAGCTTTTCGTTCTGCATTCCCTCAGAGTCAATTTCAGTCGAAGGTACCCCTGTTTTTTCCTCTTATACATGCTGGCTTCAATACCATCTATAATTGGTGTAAACGTTTGCACAATGGTTTTGTTTTGTATATCATGTCTTGTACAGTTTTCGCAACCGCACTTTGACGACCCTATCCCATACTTTTTTGAGAGCATTCCTCTACTGCTTTCCCGCTCATTTCATTTCAAAATTTTTAGCTATTTAACATTTTCGTCCTTATTAACTGGGGGCCACTCGGCTAGAGACTTAGTAGCAGATCGGTGGAAACAAGTCCGCAATCATTGATCTAAAGTGGCTGACTAATGGTGGAGAAACCAATCTCCGCATTGTAAATTTTCATATAGTTCCCCGGGTTCCCCGAATCCGGATCAACAGGTATATGACTCTTTTTTGCGCCTGACAGTTCCTGTCGCGGCGTGCACTTAGATTTTGCTGAAGCTTTCAGTTTAATGAACAAACGTGACAAGCTGTGTCACTTTGTTGTCTCTCGGCGGCCGGACGGTCTAGGATTGGTTGAGACCTAGCTAAATTCTGAGATAACTACCAAACATGTCTAACTCAGTGGCTAATCATACTTTCGGTGCGACCGAATATCAAACGACCGCGGTGGTCTGCTGCTGTACGTTATGCCTTCATTCGACCTTTGGGAGACTCGTAAGCACTTACGAAGCAAAAATGGCCTATGTGAGCAACTTT